CCCCATATTGAAGCACTTGATGTCGATGTCGTGACACTGCTATGTTGGGTGACTAGATTTTAAGCTCACAAATCTTTCTCACGCATGGACACTTATGTGACATCTTGGGACAAGCAGATGTAACTTTCCGCTGCGTTTTAATCTTAAAATACACAAACAAAGGTCTTGGGGCGTGCAAGGCCAATACGGACGAGTTCTCTGTAAATATTTATTATCTGTGGCCAAGTTTACCCGTTTTTAATCCAGCTCCTTTGCTCATCAATTTTGTTTGCTCTCGAAAGACAAATATTAATATAAATTACCTCGTGTCTTTAGAAAACCTGCAAAGTTCAAGCACAGGGCTGAGAAAAACATTCGGGGACAACTGTTCACGCAAAAGGCTAACACTTTATTAAGACCTGCCGTGTCTCCCTGACATCCCCCGCAAAAAAGAAAATATCTGTGAAACTACATGTATTGTGAAAAGTCTCTCTGTGGCAAAGGTAGAGGGTACAATATGTTTTCTCTGTAATGGCGACCACGTACAAAGTCGTAGAAACCATTCAGATTGATTCTGTAAATTACGTAAATGTAATTTTTAATTTTTTTTCTCGTTTACAATACGCCACCGGTGAGGGAGAATGATAAGAGAGAGCGACGCGTTTTGTCAACAAACGTTCCGGGGTAGTAACCCTTGCATTTGATATCGCAAGGCTATCTGAAGACTTATTGCGAGCTGGGTTATATTTGTATGTTTTATCAACAAAACTTTCTTTACTTTAAAATGATATCTGAATACTTACATGACGCTGGGTTACTGAATTTAACTGCGCCTTCAAATTAAATCTACTTTGCTTGTGGGGTAGATAGAATAGTTTATGTACAACGCAAAGCGCCCAGGTAAACGAAGTAGACAGGCCCCTATATATATATATATATATATATATATATATATATATATATATATATATATATATATATATATATATATATATATATATATAACAACACAATGAGTTTTACATTTTTCTATATAGGCCCCTAGATATACATATAGCAACACAATAAGTTTTTTACTTTTTATTGCGCTATAAATTCCCTGAATATTTCAACACTTTTCACTTAGTCACCATAGGGATACCATATATAAAACTGTTCACAGAATGGCTCTTCATAAATCCTTTTTTTTTTTTTTTTTTTTTGAGTTGTAAGTTTCTACTATTTGGGTCATTTCTCCAAAGAAAAAGAGAAAGGTGAATTTCACCCTTGCCAGAAGGATAACATGGATTGATTCAAAGACATTTCAATTCTCAAATTCTGAAGATTAAATTGAACTACTTATGCAATGAGACAAGCTCTATAAAATGTCAACTTCAATAAAAATGGAGTATGATTATCAAATGAGAGAGAGAGAAAGAGAGAAAGGATGAGAGAGGAATAAAGTGGGAGTTTGTGAACTCTTGAAATTAAGAGGATCTTTTTCACCGTGTAAATATATTAAACCCGGATTTCTATGGGTACAAACTAAAAACCAAATATACACTTCTAGAGAAAAACAATGAAAACCACAGAAATACATTTTAATACAGCTGATAATACATGCAGCAACAAAATCTTTCAAATCCCATGGAACCCATAAATGACGAAATTTTTTTTTTTTTTTTTTTTTTTTTGTCATGCCTATTTTTCGAGGTCGAATAAAAATGACGAAATTCCGGTTTCTGTGTGTTATTTTTTTTCTTGACTTCTTTCATATTTCATTTCTATATTGGCAATTTGTCTCACTCGTGATGTCCCGGAATACAGCATTTTCACCCTGGGCACAATTTCAACTCCCAACCCGGGGGTCGGTTTGCCGGGTAACTATCACCCATCCCAAACGTTTCGTTTGATTAAAACACTCATGTTTACAGATATAGAAGCTTTTCAGAAATAAAGATGACAGGCCGTCTTGCCAACCACATTTATCAAATCACCAATATGACCTTGGTGACGAATTCCGGACTCGAACCTGATTGGTAGAAAAGTTCTTCCCTGATAAAAGGTATTTAAACCTACGGCGTTCGATCCACGGCAACTTTGAACTTTTATTCTTCGACTGCTGCAGAAGCGTGAAATTAAGGAGACTTTACGAAGTGCCGAGGTAGGAAAGTTTTTGATCTTGGCTGTTTAGAGCTTATGAACAAATAGAAGAATTTAGATAATTTACCGGTTCTGTGTCTATATTTGAGTGTCAGTAATGTGCTTAAGAACAAGATACTCTGTAGTTCAACTATACAGATATTCTTCATATTTCTCAGGAACTCACATCGAGTTCCCTGTAAATGTTTATCAATTTTTTTTTTTTTTTTTGAAAATTCTCTGAGTAATTCTTTCTTGGAATTTACTAAACAGAGATTTTCAAAATTCATTTTAATGCATTATTGCGGTGCAATTGTCCTCTTTCAAAATTAACAAATCATTTATGTTATATTGAAAAAAAAACATCAATCTGTCAACAACCACAGTAAAGAAACAAAACTGTAATTAGTACTTTTAAAACTTTCATACATGAAGCAGTATTAGTTCAATAAGAGGAAGCCATTGTTTGATAAAATGTGCACACAGGAAGCCAATGTGTATAAGTAGCTTAAGATAATATTTCATACCAACCAGTTCAAAATTTAATGTCCTTTGTTTCAAGCTAGTAATCTTTTAGCACTGGCGTCCGCAGAAAATTTTCCGGGGGGGGGGGGGGGGG